CTTAACGATTTGAACACATGTTAACATGAAGAGTAACAACAGTTGCAACTCCTGCTCCTCCTGCTCCTGCTCCTGCTCCTTATCCTTATCCTGCTCCTGGTGCTCCTTCTCCTCTTTAAATTCCAAGCCAAAGGCCAACAAGGATAACACTTCGACATGATAATAAATATGCCTGAGGCACCGAGGATGAGCCAAATGAAAGTGGCGACAGGTCCTTTGAATCGCTTTCTCTCAGAGAAAATCTCCGATCTCCTTGAAGTGAAGTGCCAAAAAATAATATTGAGCAAGGCATTCAAGATTGAACTTTATAATAGTTTCAATTATTAACTCCCAAAATCATTTACTACTAATTCCAAACTGTGACTATTTTATGAACAATTCTAACTAAACAGATGTGCAGTTTCACCTCTTTAAATGTAATTTAAACACATAATTCGGTATTCCGTTTTAAATTGAATGACAATATTGCCGTACAGCTGCCCAACAAATAACAAAAGTGGTGGCATTTGTACATATTAAGCCATCACACCTTTAAACAATTATTAAATTGTTCAAATATTCTCTCTGCTTATCATATTCGTGTGTTTGCAAATGGTTTTCATTTCGTTTGCATGGCCCTAGTGACACCACTATTATTTTAACCACAATTGTGGTTTAAGGCACTGCACCACCGACAGTGGTATAACATGTTCATATGTTCATGCGATGTCTAATAAAATGAAGCGCGAAAAATGTAAAATTCCGTATTCCGTATTCCGTATTCCGAGGCGTTGCTAGTTTTGGAGTGGCTGCCTGCCTCCTGGTTTCCTCCCTCCAAACCAGATGGATTCTCTCCAATCCCGGATCCCAATCCCCAAGCCCGAATCCTCCCGAAAAAAAGAAAAAACATTGCAAATTCGCATAGAAAATTCACACCAGCTCTCATCGGGTGGGAGTGAAAATTGCGTATTTGAAACACGTTTAAGCAGCTGCAGGAGCATAAAAAGGATAAAGGACTGTTGAGCAGGAGGATCCCTGCATCCTTGCATCCTTGCACATGCAACCTACCACCCATTTTCATACTCCTTCCTCCTTTTTTTTATTTTTCCAGAGCAACCGCGATGCATAAAACTTGCAACGAAGACAAATCGTGACACAAAATATGGCAAATTGTTAGCGAAATTATTTGGCAGGATAAGCCGAGGTGTGGGAAATCTGGAGGGGGAAGGAGGTTCTGGGGGGAGGGGGGAGGGATAACCACTCGATTGAGTTATGCCCGCGGCCCAGTTGGCCAAAACCAGCGGCTCAATCACTGATTGCCACTGCCTCGATTGATCAGCGAGGCAATCAAAGCCGCAGGCTCGCAGCTGCAACTCCGCTTCCCCGGGGCAGTGGCGCACCCAAAAGGGGGGGCAACTGCGGCAAGAAGGGGTTTCAATTAACCCACTTGATTACCAGCCAACAGGAAGTTCTTCACAAAGCCAAATCACGAACTACAAATCGGAGTCTATTCTTTATATAAAAGCGCAATGCAAACCGAAGTTTCGAGTTTGCAAAATAGCAAATATTTTAAAACAATACATTTATCCAATATAATAACAGATGTCAAAAAGTTTATAATATATTTATAATATCCATTTATAACTAGAATTTTCTTAATTCCAAAGTACGCAATTCTAATTAAAGCTTAGCTTTCATTAAATACTATTGAATCATCAGATAATCCTTTTAAAGAATATATATTCTTTATGTTGTAGCAAATGTTTTTTTTTTTTTTTGTATAAGATTTATAAAAGGTTTTTAAAATATCTTTTTTATTTACCTCTAAAAGTAAATATAAAATAAACACACAAAATTTTTACATTTAACAAAATGAAGAGAAGGGATTGCACAAAAACGCAGTGCTTAATTAGTTTTATACTTTTTTCATTATAACTTTCAGAATTCCGAAAAATTGTTCTTCATTTAATAAGCTGGCACAAAATAATAAATTAATTTATAAGTAACTAACTAACTGCCATGTTACGTAATCCAGTATAAACTTTACCCCAACTAACAAGTTTTGGTCTTATGATGCAAGGGAACAGGAACTGAGTAGTTCGTCAAGTGGATAAATGTATTCTACGCCCATGATGATGCGGCAAGCCCCTCCTCCTCTACCCCTCACCTTCACCTTTGCCCTTTGCCCTTTACCCTTCGCCCTTTACCCTTCTTCCTTTGCTCTGATCCTCTGAGTGGATGGGATGGCTTAGGCGCCACTTGAAGCCTCCAAGGAGGAAGCGATGGTAAATAGGTGGTAACACATCCTTAAATATTTACCCCTCCCCCTCCTCATCCGTTCCTTCTTTTTAGAGGGGGAGTGAGCTTTCCGGGGAAGGAGGGGAGGTGGATGTCTTGACCGGGTAAGCCGCTAAGCTAACCTTGTTACACACGCCGCATCCTCGCAGGATCCGCATGATGGTGTCGGCGGTCGGGAGAACCGATTTGCCATGTGTCAGGTGGCTGGAAAGGAGGAGGCTGAAGGAGAAGGTGGAGGAGGAGGAGCACCAGCCAGTGGAGCAACGTTAACAAGTTGCCCACCTGGGCACATGTGTGGAGATTTACTGCACAGAGGGGGGAGGAGAAGAGAAGGTCCTGGGAAGTCCCAGCTGTCTGGCTTCCCAGTGGATGCCAGCTGTCTGTCCCGATCCCAATCCCATTGGCTCCGCTCGCCTGCCTCCTTTGTCTTTGCCAAGGGACAAGGGATAAGGGAGGATAGGGGAGGATACGGGATGGAGGGATACGGAAATGGGGACAACTGACAGCCAGTTCCGCGGTGCAATCCCCCTTCCCCCTCCCTGCTTGCCACTTTACCCGTGCGCTTTTATTATTATAAAATACGCATGAGTTAGTGTGCATATTTCATGGATTTTGTGTATAAAAGGGATAAAAATGCAATCAGTCGCGAAAACCAGCAAAGTGAAACGGACATAGAAGTCGGTTGGAGGGGGAACCTCGGTGAAGTAGTCAGTTGCACCCACCCATTTTCACCTGCCATCCAGGCATCCAAGCATCCAATCCACCCAATTCCCAGTTGCCAATTCACCCAATCCACCCAATCCCCAACCAGCTGTCACCTGCAAAATCTCCGCGAAATCCCAGCTGAAATCTCCCTCACAATGCGATTTGTCCACACAAAAAGACCTTGATCCTGGCTAATTTCATAATGGAAATCTATGGGCAAGTGTGAAGTGGAATTCAAGGACAAAGGGGATATGGAATCATATTTTTTGGATTATGTCTTTGATTTTTAATTTGCAAAAATACCAATGGAAATTGCATTTTCAGCCTGAGTTAAGTCTGGAATTCGTTTTTGGTTGGATTTTGAATGCAAGAATTTATAATAAAGCTGTTAAATTTGTATCACTAGATGATGGCTTAGATTTTAAAAGTTAGTTTAGACATTGGAATCCATTATCCTAATAATTTTATAGATCCAAAGATCAACCCTTAACAATTAATTACAATATAGGAATATGAATTTGTTTATCCTTTAAGCGAATCTGCTTACCTTCATTGAGCCTTCGATTGGAGCAGGATTCCGCACAGGAGTTTCCAGTTCCCAAAACCAGACCAGACCGGAAATGTGGAGCAAATCAAAAGCACCTTTCAGGGTCAGCAGGCAATCCATGGAGTTAGCCACGTGGATAATCGAAGGCGTGTTCATCGCCTGGCCAATTACTCAATATGATGGATGGACCGGCAAGTGCTTAAATGAGTTGCCCAACCGAAAACCTCGAAGAGCACACTAAAAGGGGAGGAGTATGGGTTGAAGGGGGTGCAAGGGGGCTTTAGGGGGTGGCAGGGTCACCCACACACCCACACACCCATACACACACTCACACAGACACACACACGTGCGGAACCGTAACAGGTGACCTCAACCAGAGCAAATGAGCAAATGTCGGATTAAACACAACTTGCCCGGGGAAAGGTGAAAAGAGAATACTTAAAGGTGGGAGAAAGTTCGGTCCAAGATGGTCTACTTCCGTAGACAGAGCACTCGAAAAAAAATTGATACAGTTGGAAAATATTTGAAACACATAATACAAATTCACAATTTAAATAAAACCTTTGGAGATTAATTCGTTTCAAAATATCAGAGCTTAATTGTTTAGCCATCACATCATTACGTTTCTAAATTAATTTAAATTAAATTCAAAACATTTTTAAACGTTGCTTTAAAATAAAACTTAAGGGGTAAATAATATTATATAAAAAAAGACAAGTTCGCCAACATAATAGACTCTTTACAGACTTAAACATAATAATTTATTTATTTAGGTAAATATCAGAGTGAATTTGTTTAGCCGTCCTATCACATTATTTCCTTTTCCAACTTATATTTATTTAAACAATTTCTGAACGTTACTAACTTCAAAATTAAATTTGACCAAGAGTTTTTCATTAATTAATATTTTATTATTATTATTATTTTAAGTTATGTGTAAGAATATTTATCAGTAAAAAATATCCAAACAAATTGCACAATTTTACTTCAGTAACAACAAAATCTGAAGAAGTATGTATCAATTAGGTAAAAACGGTTTATTGATTTTTTGTAATAATCTATTTATTCTTTTTTTTTTAGCAATTATTGTAATAGGATTACCCCCATTTTTCGGCAGTGTCGAAATGGAGCCGGGGCATATGTATGCTGCCTGGTTAAGGACACAAAAGTCATGACTGGCATGAGAACGAGCTCAAGTGCCATTGAGGAGGAGTGCTCATATTCCCAGGCTTGCCACGCCCCCCTTTAACTCCCCCCAATACCCCCCGCCCAGCCAAAAAGGCGGCGCAAGTGCGCGAGTAAATTCAAGAAACAATTTTCAGGAATGACTTAACTTTTGCGTTTATGTGAAAAGTTTCGCAACGTGATGTTATGCGAGCGGCGAAAGGATATGCAATTCACTGGCATTGCAAGAGTGTGTATGTGTGTGTATGTAGTATGTAGTGGTAGTAGTATGGATGCGGATACGGAGTCAGTGGAATCGCAGCGAGAGACTCTCCTCGAGGTCGAGACCCCTGGTGATGTAGGCAAAGTCCTCGCAATCGAGCTTCTCCTTTTCGGCGAGGATCTGTTTGAGGCGCCAGCGCATCGAGCGGCATTCCCGTTTCGTTGCCGGGAGGCGGTCGAGCAGGGCGTGGCACTGTTCAGCGGTCAGCAGGCCATCGGCGTCCTCGTCGAAAAGGCGCAACATGGAGGCCAATTTCCGGTCGAGCGGTTCGGAGCGACGGAAGTGCGCCAAGCCGCGCACAAAATGCCGGAAGCCCAGCGACGGATGCAACATGGCGTCCACCAGTTGTTCCGCCAGCGGATGCGACGCCACCGGCGGCACCATCAGCAGTTCGCTGCGCAGGACTCGATCCTCCTGGTCGCGATCCAAGGACTCGTAATGTCCGTACAAATAATCGAGGCGCGCCAAAGAAAATCCCGTCTCCGCTTGGATTTCCAGCAACTCCTCCGCGGACAAGTGACGCGATGCAGCGGTGCCCATCCGATTGTTCAGTTATCCCTTATCGATTGTACTAAATATATATAGATATATATATATATATCCTTGCGGGATATTTTCCTGGGTGCTCGTTTCCTGTTTTGCTGTGTGTGTGAGTGTGTTTATATCATTGAGGAGCCGAACGATCGGTGGAGAAACGCCAGCTTCACTGGCTCAAAATGTTCGATCGGAAATTGGATCATGCCATTCCATTGAAAGTTTCAATCCAATGAAACTAAGATTTGAACTAAGTAATTAGTGAATGGCACTACCATATTACTTGGTGAAATAAAATCACTTATAGGGAAGTACTACATGGCTGTATTAATGAATGATGAATTAATTAATTAATAAATAGCACTACCAAACCAGCGTTAACAGAGCTCAATTGGTTTTCTTATTATTATTCATATATATAAATTAAATGAAAATTACACCAATAAGATAGTGTTTCATAACTCTAAATCCATTACTTCACTTCAATACATTTATAATACAATTAATACATTAAGTAATTAATTTACATGAACATTTTAAATTCCTCCATGATAAAACTTTAGTTACTATTCTTCTATAACTTTTTTATTTTGTTTGAATAAAAGTTCAACACCGTTGTGGCCCCTAAACTGACTTTAAAAATCACAACAAGCACATATGTAGTGGGAAATTAGTCAAAATGAAATGTATCTGCTGCTTTTTTGCTTGCAGCTCTTCATCAGATTGCGTTAATCCCTCGGATAAACAGGGGATATAGAATGAGAATGAGAAGGGTACGGATGAGCGGGCGTCTCGTGTCGAGTCAGTCATTGGAATTAGCTCACATATCTCCGCTCCACTCCCACGGAATGATAACATATAATTTTGAGTCGGAGCGCGGCGACACCTGACAGCCGCAGCTTCCACACCCGCGTGCCACTTGCCACTTGCCACTTGCCACACACCACTTACCCCTCGGCGGACAGACGGAGCCTTCACTCATTGTGGCATGTGTCAAAATTAATTTCGTAGGCAATATTTTGACGGGCTTTCATGCTAAGCTGAGAGGGTCACTCCCGTTCCCCCTTTCTCCTTTCTCCTTCCCCCTCTTGGAGTCTGGCCCACCCCCCGCCTCAAAGTTGCCGAATGTGTGGCATCATGTGAGAATCTAATGGTTAAAGGGTATGTGGGTATCAACAAAGAGCACAGATTTAACTTATATTAATCGCAATAAATAAAACAATTCTTTTGATTTAAATAGTTTAATGTTTAAATTCTTTGTTATATTGTACTTGTATTTCTACCTGTAGTTTTTCATCCTTAAAAATATTAATTGCCAATATATTTTATCCAATAAATCGCTTTTCAACAGAACTAACATCTTAAGTCCTGAAAGAGCAAACTTTGTATGTTAGTTAATGTGGAAGGATTTATGTGTGTATCCAAAAAATTATTCTCGTTAATTACGCTAGGCAGAAGGCACTAAACAGATTCCAGTGAATAAAAAAATTAAACAAAAAAAAAAGGATTTATGTTTTTCTAAAAATCATAGCATACTTTTTAGGGGCGATTGCGAATACCACAATTTCCCTTTTGATTTGTATGTAAAAGTATTTTGCATCCAAATCGGAGTTATTAGTTCCTATCCTATTCGGTTGCATACTCCTCTCGAATAGAGCATACCCTGTTAATCTGCGAGGTGATGTGGATATAAGTGGCCATGGGGTGTATCCAGATACTTTCCGTCACTAAATGCAAAGGTAACTTTGCCCTCAGCTTTTATTTCCCCCACTTGCCTTCGGTTTGTTTGGGTTTCGATACATTTCGTTTTGGATTTTGTTGCTACCTTTCCTTTTTTTTTTTTTTGGTTTTTCTGGCCAGTCACTGCTCGTCGAATCTGGGCAGAATGGAATTTTTTCCACATCATTCCGGGGATTGGGAAGCAAGTCGAATGCTCGGCGAGGAGGAGGAGGAGGAGGAGGAGGAGGTGGAACATCACTGCCACAATATGCAAATCTCATTGCGACGCATTGAAGAGACCACAAAAGCCAGGGTCTGATGCCTTGATAGCTGATATTAAAACCATTACTCCGATGGTGTCCTTCGTCCCATTCCAAAAGTCCTCGCAGCAAGACAACAAATTACAAAAATTAAGAGAACATTTTTGCGGATGAAAGGCATTTCGATGGCAGGGGAAAGAGGAGGAGGCAGGCGACAAAAGTGGCCAAGTGCCACGCCCCCTTCTCCGCCCCCATTTGGAGGTGTAAAGATTCCAGAATACGGACACCCCCCTTCGTCCCTTTTGTGTGTGTGTGTGTGTGTGTGTGTGTGTGTGCTTTATCCAGAGGGTGTGTGCAAATTAATGAAATTAAATCGTCTTTATTTGATGGCTGTGAGAACCGGAGAAAAGAATTCACTCGTTGTCACCGCAGGACGCAAGGCAAATATCCTAATGGAACGCCGACGGGGAAACAGGAGGGGGAGGAGTGCCTTTCTTTGGACTTTCTGCAGGTGTTCTTCAATGCTAGCAACATTGTTTAAAGCGGAGAAATTTTTGGGGGGAAGGGAGGGGAGGGGAGGGGAATGGGAAATAACAATAATAAAATTACACGATGGTCGTGGAAATAACAACAAAGATCAAATATTCAAGTGGATTTTAGTACAAGTGTATAAAAGAAAATAAATATATTTAGAAAGAAATCAAAATTATGGATTAGTTTCTAATTAAGAAAACATTGTCCAAAATCATCAGTAGAACTTTTGTGTTAGCGTATTGTGTTCCTAAGGCAAGTATCCATTGTTGAAAACAACAATTTCTCTCAAAAGTATGAGCTAGTATACAGATATATAATATATAAACACATTTGAAAAAAAAATCGAAATTTGAGAAAAAAAAACAGCAGACATTTATATTCCCAAAGTCAATGATTATTGATTTTTAAAAATAAACAAAGCAACACAAATCCTAATATTTCTTTAGCTTGGTGTACAGAAAACATTTGTTCTAATCCATTTTTATTTCGCTTGACTTTCTCAGCTCCTGAATCCTTTGTAGGAATACAGTTTACAAACCCACAACTTTATTTTCCTTTGATTTTTGGCTGCTGCAAGGGCATTCTGCCTTCGATCCGCATCGAATGTCTTCCCAAACCGATGGCTGAATTAAAAAGGAGCTGAAAAGCGGAAAATGGGACGGAGTGTGCGTATTGGGTGAACGCAGATTGCGTTTTCACTTTCATCATTGCATTTAATACGGGTGAAATTGTTTGGTGATGGGATCCGGAACGTGATGCGAATACCCAGAATTAATTGCAATCGGGGCGACGGCAACCAAGGAATCAAGCCGAATTCGAGGGAGACAGCCATCCTACAATCCAACAATCCTACAATCCAACAATCCTACGCCCATAATATCGTTGGATGCCCCACCACTCGGTGTCCTTTGTGCCCCGTCCTCTATTTCCCACTCTTCTGAATTGCCGGGAAAATGCACTGCGCGAAATTTAAGAAGAAAAAGGCAGAGGGAACCCCTTTTCAACGAGGGAAAACACTGTGCAAGAAAATACTTCCAACTACTTAACTCAACTATATAAGTTATATTTGTCTCTCAAAAACATTGACTCACAGCAATTTGGCTGCCGGCATAATCCAAATTAATTATGACAAATATGACTGGTCTGCATTTGATTTATTTAAGTACATATTTGGGCATTTAAGACAGATGTTGGCCATTTGTGCCTAGAGTCTTCGCCACAGTCATAATTAAAAATGGTTACCTTTCGAACACGCAATAAAGCAAAATAGTTTCGCACCTGTCGAGACGTAAAAAATAATACAAAAATATCTTTAACCTTTTGAAGTCGTTTTATTTTTTGTGCAGAGTCAAGATGTTTGAGCAACACGATTGGTTTCAATTGATGACTGTGGTCATGATGTGGTCATCAACGTGTGTATATTGTGTTTGTATTGTATTGAATAGAATATAGAATAGGTTAAATAATTAAAACAAAAATTAAAAATATATTTTATTTTTGCCTCAATGAAGAACTTCCTACATTTTGTAATTTCTTGTTATGTCTCCATGAATTTAAATGTATTTGAATAAAAAGAAAATAGTGTATCTTTTATAAAACATTGTTGAAGTCATTGTTTGTACTTCTAAAACAACATATAAATATCATTGCACAAATTATTTATTTACCTTGTTTACCTTCGGTTAAGTTTTTGATTAAGCACAAAACCTTAGTCAACGTACACAAATCATTTAAAGGATGGACAAATGGTGGAAACTACAAACTGATGATTCTTACAAAAAATCAACTCAATTGTGGCTATAATAAAGCAAACAAATGAACAGTGATTTTTGGCTCAGTGTTTCGGGGGTCGATGGTGTTGGTAAATGCTTCCACTGGCTTTCTTTTGTCGCTTGCCACACAAAAGCAGCGGGGCAAAGGACACCACAACAACACAACACAACACAACACCTTCACTCCGGCACCCCTTCCTCTTGCCACCTTGCCCCTTCTGCCACCTTACCCACATTGCCGCATCTCGATTTCCATTCCATTTCCGGCACCCGTGTGGGAATCGCCCGCTGATCTTTGCAAAAGGTGCCCAGCGGACAGCCTACCCCCCTGCTGCCTTCCGCCACCTTACCCCCTTCGTCCTTGGTCCTTGGTCGTTGCACACCCCAGCGGATCCAATGGACAACAGAAATTAGCAACTAGAATCAACAGACAAACGACAATTAACGGATGGGAATGAGCATGAGGGCAAAAGGCCGAGGCCAAAGGGGCGGATTGAGTGGAAATGAATAAGTAAGTGAGTGGTGGAGGTGGTTCGGGCGGTTGGTTGGGTGGTTCGCCGGGTGGTTTGGTGGGTGTCTCTATGGGTGGGTGGTTTCAGTTGCTTTCAGGGGGCTTTCAGGTGTTTTGGCTGTTTCGAAGGGGGGGAATCGCATCGCAAATTGTTTGGAACAAACGCCGCCGAACCAAACGGAAAAAGCGAACGGAGGCGGCATAGTGAACTGGTCCCAAAAACCGGAGAAGAAATGTGGAGAAAGGGGAAGAAAGGAGGGGGGAAAGGAGGGGGAAAGGATGAGAAGGGAGGCGGGTGTAACCACCACCTGGCGATTTGGTATTTAGGGCTTTCCCCTCTTCCCGTTTCCCCTTTCGGCAATGCCAATGCCTTTGGTCCATTGTGGTCGCTGTTTCTGAAAGGGGCAGCTAACACAAAAAAAAAAGAAAAAAATAGAAAGAATGAAAGGAAAGGGGTGAGATATGGATGGTGGTTCTATATGTCCAACCTGGCTGCTTTATTGTTCTTTTCCTGTGTCTCCTTTTGTGGGACAACTGCGGGCCACTTAAGCCTTTAAGTTTATCCGCAACAGCCGTAAAACAAGAACTGTTTTGAATTCATATTCCAAAGCAACGCATTCCATTCGATTTGTGATACTTCAGCAGAAGGAAGAAAATCCATCTTAGTTTGTAAAAACCTTATTTTAAATGAAAAGAATTTTTCATAAATTATATAAATATTAAAGAAAAATGTCGAAGGAATTTTATCTGATTATAAAAGTTTCCTGTAAATATTCAAACACTGTTGAAATCATTAAAACAATTTAAATACATTTTTATTTTTACTCCAACTGCGAACTATTTCCTGTGTTGCATAAATGGAGTCATCTTTTTTTATGAATTCATAAAATGTATGGGGAAAAGTAAGTTGGTACTTGAGTGACATCTCGACTTGTGGCACAAACAGCTGAATCCACAAGCAATGCTTTTGGCAGCAGTTTAACCACTGAAGCAAAAATAAAGCGGGAACACTTTGAAAACTACACGGGATATTCAGGGATGTGCAGGAGGATCCTTGTAGCTGCAGAAAAATCTGCAGTGAAAAATCTATTGCAATAGCAAACTTACATTTGTTAGATAATAATATAGGTAAGCCATAGCTTTTCTAGTAATTATCTTTGAAATGTTTTAGGATTCGATTAATCTGTATTGCCGTAAATATAAGTTGTTCACGAATGAGAAAGAACTCAAGGAACTAACTTAAAGTGCCACCCGCAGTCCTTTTGGCTCGGAGTTGCCCATCTCCTGCCTCCACTCGTCCCACGCGGCGTATGAGGAATGTAAAATTGCTCATACCGCCTGTGGTCCCGCATCTGAGGAACTGGGTGACAGTTGATTTGCCTGTCGGCAGTTTCAGTTTCCGGAGGGGAGTGGGGGGGGGCTTCTGAGGGGAGAGGGGAAGGGGGGGCACTGCAGGCACTGCAATTACGGCGACTAGAGATTTTTCTAAGAAAACCGCACAAGACGATGTCGGCGACTTTGGCGCCAGCATTCCAAAGTAAATTACAAACAAAAATGTTGCAACGAAAACGAAAACGCAAACGGAACCCCAAAAGCTGAAAACCACAACGGCCAACAAAAATGTAAGCAAAGAGGGGAATGGGGAGCAAAAAAAAAAAAAAAAAAAAAAAAAAACAGAAAACAAAGCACAGCGAAAAGGGCAGGGAAAAAAATCAAATTGAAAATGAAATGCAGGGGTGTCGGTTTGGTTGAGGAGGTTCAAGAGTCTTGGCGGCCAAGCGACTGACGCCCCGTCTTTCAGTTCCGAGGGCTGAACATCCATCCAGCTAGGAAAAGGACCTCTTCCTCCCAAAAAAAAAAAACACCCTCCAACCCCCCGCAAAACACCCCATTCCGTGGCCTTGCCTTGCTTATGCAATTTGGTATGTGTTTCCCAAGAAACCTTTGTTGCATTATTGCCGCAATTTGCAGAAGTGGTGACGTGAGAGCCATCAGAGTGCTGCGTCCACGAATATTGCCCTGCTGCACGTCGCCCTGCGTCCTTTTCCCTTCTCTCTTCCCTCTTCGCTCTTCAACCTAAGTTGAACCGAGTCCCTAGTCCTTCGGCCCTCGAGCCGCGTCCTCTTCGCGCTGCCCCTTCAGCCAGACAGCGAACAAATAACAACTAAGTTGGCAATTTGAAGGCGCGCGAGCTCAGCTTGAAGCGAGAAGGCCACTTAGCGACAGCGAACCGCAACTTGGATACCCTTAATTCTGAATACTTGCAAGGGTGGCAACTCTGCTTGTAGTACCTTCCTAAATAACAGGTGAATTTGTATCTTATTAAAAGGTTAGCGAAATTAACTGGAGTAAACAATTAATCATACTGTTAGCAAAACAATTCAACATTAATTATTGTTGGGCTGGGGTGGCAACCATACACATGCAGAGTTAAGTTGGTTGCGCCTAAGGCGAACTAATGAAAAAGCATTTGCACACACTTTTTTTCTTCTTTTCGCATAAACACAATTATGAGACACCTACAGTTTTTAGCTTTCTAATTGTCCTTCCCAGCGGTGAAAAATTTTTGAGTTTCTTTAGCGGCAATTGTAAACTAAAATAAAGAGATTAAAATGCTGCTAAACCTAAAAAAAAGCTATAAGGATAAAACACCTGTTTTCATTTTATTTGCTAAATTGTTATCTTTCAATTTAACTCCAATTTTGTATTATTTTCTTTTAAAAATCTTTTTATACCCGTTTTATCAATATAAGTGGAATATGAAAAGGCATTTTGGGGAAATTTTTACAAAATCCATATATGAAAAACGTACGAAAATATATGGTACTAAAATGAACTTGTTAAATATAAATATCCTAATCAAGAAAATGTATTTATAATACTTCCGAATGCAAGTGTTCAATAAACTCGGTATTTGTTGACTGAACCCACATCAAAACTTACAAAAGGCTGTAGATCCACAAGCAAATTCCCCATTTGAGCAACCAAAAATAGGTACCAGAAAAGAATTGATTTTACTTTTTATTCGCCGAACTTGAACTTTGGGTTGAGCGATTATCCCTGAGTGAGGGCGTAGGTCATGAGGGCCAGGATGCCGGCGTTTCCCACTGTGGCCACATGAGGGCCAAAGCCCTCGGCGAAGAGATCAATCAGAAGGGCGCCAAAACGCGCAATAATCGCAGTGACAGCCACTCCACCGTAGATGTGATTGCCATCCTTTACGGCCAGATAGAAAGTGGATGCAATGTTGCCGAGGAGAGCAAAGTCCTTCAGCGTCTTTGCGGAGCCATCCCACTCGTCACCGATCTTGCCGATCATGTCGTAGAACAGCGGGATGAGCGACAGGCCATGGACCATGGCCACTCCCGATTGGTCGGATACCAGGTAGAACTCGACATTCGCCAGCGGCAGCGGAATGACCTCCAGAATGCTCGCGGAGATCAGGAATGTGCGATCGCACTCGTCCGGCTCCTCGGAGAATGACAGCAGCAGGCCAAGCAAACCGTGGACTAAACTGAAGGCTGCTGCCAAATATCCGTAGGGATTGTCCGCCGGAGTTAGGGAGTACATCGCATAGCAGCAGGCCGCAATCAGCAGCAAATTAACCAGAGCTCCAGCCACCTGCATGGTTTCGATTCTATTTCACCCAAGTATCACGACCTGTGAAAATCACCTTCTACTTATTCCGAACGCTAGCACTGCTAATTTTGAATGTTTCTCGCTCGAGTCTGGAGTCAAAATGACCCGAAGTTGGGGAGCCCTAAACTAAACCTTTTCACGTAAAAGTCATGGCCAATTACTTACTTACTTAGAATGTGGGAAACTAACTAGATTGGACTGACTGAAAATTGTATTCAAATAGGTAAGGATTAGGAAAACCAAGAATGAAAACCGTTTCCAATTTGGTAATTTGAATAATTCAAAAACTGGATAATAATTCAGATATTTAACTTTAAGGTGTCACTATTTTATTACTTACTCAACTTAAAAACCACTTGATACTTCAAAAAATTAACCACTTAACTTTTTTTGATTTATTTGAATTATTTTATTGCCTTCAAACACTTTTTAATCTACAACATGATGATGCTTTTTTCTTAAATGCCTACCAACTTTAGTTTACTAAACAGTATTTGTGAAACTAAAAATATATGCAGACTGTTTTCCTATTTCCCTTTAGATATTTATGAAATTCCTTTTAGTTATTTCTTTTACCTATCCAGAATCCAGCTTCCCATCCTGATCCCTCGACCCAGAATGGCCAACTCAACGCAGGGTATTTGGGAGGCGAGCGAGCAACAACATCCGGATTCCGGAATGTGGAGCTCAGGGCGGCTCATCTCGGAAGTGGCTAACGTTGGCCACGTCGGTTCCGGATTGAGCCAGAGATTACGGGTGATTGGGGGGAGTCCCAAAGCACAGAGTTACCGAGTTACAGAGTTACTGAGTTACCGGGTTACCGTTTGCTTGGTTCTTCGGTTGTTTGGTTGGTTGTTTGGTTGGTTGGTTGGTTGGCCAGGCCAACACGAGGACATCGATCATAACACCTGAACGCAGTTCATAAATAACCGAGCCATGGTTAAATTTTGACCTGCAAATGCCCAACCAACCCCCCTAAAAATACTCCCCCAAAAAATGCCTTCTTTTTTTTTTTGGGTGGCCAGCGCCTCAATAAAACTGCAAAGTGCCAATTACAAAAATAACAAGTTAGCCGAGAAACTTATGTTGGCTTTCCGACTTTTCCGTGTGAGTGTGTGTGTATGTGTGTGTTTTGTTTGCCCCGATGCATTATTAAGTTTATACCAAGAAATTCGCAGAACTACCATTCTGTGTGTGTGTGTGTGCGAGTGTGATTGTGCGAGTGTGTGTGTGTGTTGGAGTGTGGCATTTAGCTGGCAAGGACACTTTCATGGTTTTCCAGTTTTCGTAGCAACTTTTTCCGTAGCACACTTTGGCCAGCGCAATGGCATTGATTGGCCTCGGGCATTTCTGTGTCGGACTGGCAGCAGGAGTCAACTAGCAGCTAACTTGATCCATCTGCAGGCCTCCAGCCAGCGATGCCAGCGAAACCAAGGATGCCAGGGAAGCCGGAGAGAGGATGGTGGGCAAGGCCAGGCAGCCAGGCAGCCAGGCAGCCAGGATGCCAGGCAGCCAGGATGCCAAGCAGCCAGGATTGCCTTGCTGCAGAATTTGCAGCACGGGTCGGTTGGTCAACTCAAATTGACTGCAGCTGGGGTCCACAGCTCGAGGAAGTTTTGCCATCGCACCCCGAAAACAAAGCCAAGTAGTGCCAACTTGTATTGTTCGCTGATCAGAGGGGGGGAAGTAAGAGAGGAAAGGGGGTAAAAAACGGGGGAGGGGTGGCTTTGAAATGGCCCAGGGATTAGGAAGCCAATGGGGAAAAAGGGGTTGGCAAAATATTGACGGGGGCTGCGGCATGACCAACGAAAATAATATGAAATAAATTCCAATTGAGCATCCGAGGAATGGGAACTTCAGTGGGTATTGGCCAAGATGAGTGGCCAACTAGCCAAGTAGCCAAAAGGGGGGGGAAAGTGGGCGGGAATGTGGGAGGGGGAGTTAGGCTTTAAGACTGCAAAAGGGCCGGCGTAGAACAAATCCGTACAAATTGAATAAGAACTCAATCTTGGCTACTGTGCGAACAACTTTCTTTGGCGCGGAGCAGGACGAAAGGTCCTGTGACCAAGACGGAATGATAAAAACACAAACACTCACACACACACACACACACACACATACAACCAAGATGCGGAAAAACAGAAGGACCTCTGCTACAAACACCACAAGCACGGTTCTCCCGACTAAAGGATACTTTTGAACTCAGCAGATTGACTTGAATGGGGAAAATAAGGGCAATAATCCCAAGGAAATTAAATAACGTTTCTAGAGATAAGGTAGTAAGCTTACAGCTTGTTGTTAATTTACAGATACAGTAGCAAATTGTAATAATAACATGGCTAGAATTACTTTTAAATTCTACCTGAACTGAATATATTTCAATATTATTCCAGAAATTTCAAATGTACTTTGAGTAACGTTTAATAAATATAAAATTGTCTCTTTGCAACCATTGGTTTTAGAGGGAGTTAAATGTAATCTTATAAAGTAATTATATTACAGTTAATCAACTATTTTTATATAATATAATATAATTTATATCAGAAGGTTACATAAACTAAACTTTAGAGTAAGTTATTTCAAATAACAATTCAAATAACATTGTCTTCTATTAAAGAAGGGAATTGTTTCAGATACCTTAAATCTATTTTATTACTCAAAACCGAATTAGGCATACAAAATTAGTAATATTCCATGTCCAACATTTATTTCAAACCACAAAGATCCTTCCAAACAGAACACACCCTTAAATCTCAGAGGCACTGGGCACGAAAAGGAATTGAATTGAAATTCCTTGGCAATTGTTTGTGTATCATTATGGTCATCATCAGTGGCCACGACTCTGTGTTCGACTGTGCGTGTGTGTGTGTGTTAGTGTCCGATGTTATTACTATAGCCATATCGATGGATGGGCGCGGCTTTAAAGCCGGACTCACTTTGCACCGCGGGCACGTAGCCATAACCTAACTCAAGATCGCTCGGCTTTAACTCGAATTTGGCCAGGATATTCAAGCTGGAGTGGGTGGGCTTCGCTCCGCTTTTGGCCATCGATTGATTTAGCTTTTTGGGGCGAGAATGCCGGTGCGGCTTTGTCGGCCTGTCAACGCACGCGGCACTATTAATTATCATGTTAAAATGTAATTAATTAAAGATGTCGTCAACGTGCGTTTGCACATAACTTTCAATGAAAAGTTAATAAATTACGAAGTGCCGAAAACGAAATTACAAACGCCATCAACGAGCCACGACAGCCGCAACAGCAACAACAAAAACAATAATAAAAACAATAACAAATGCAAAAACAGAAAACAGAAACAGTAACAAAAACGCTGCCAACAAAAATGATAACAAATCAAACGAGAATGTTTAACCTGCCCACTGACGTCCATTGATGTCGCCGTGTTCCGCGTGCTTCGTGTTTCGGAGGCTGGACAAAAACCACAGCAAAACAAATTAATAAATGCATAATAAATATGCGTAATAATAATGACTAAAGAAAAATCAGAAACAATAAATATTATTTGAGTAGCACGGCCCATCCGCTCAGGCGGCGAAATGAAAGGAGGATTTGGGGTTCGGGGGACTGGAGGATGTCATAAACGTTTATAAATGTTCATGTGCGTAAATAAAATCGTAACAATATTAAAACTGATGCGTTGCGCTATATTAAATAGACGTCTGAGTGGGAAAGTGGGCAAGTCACAAGGGAAAAGCGGCAAGGGAGAAAGCGGAAGGGGAGAAAGCGGAAAGGGAGAAAGCGGAAGGGGAGAAAGCGGAACGGTCGCTTTAAAATAATTTATCGCGTGCAATATTCACACACATGCTCAATACGTGAGCGAGTCTCCAAGTGCGTGACGCCCTCATATTCCGTGGATTCCGATTACCCACTTTTCGCAGTCGCAGTCGCAGTCGGAGTCGCGTACCACGGGGCGTATGGGTGATCTTTGCCAGCGAAAGCCGAGGCGTTACGCCTTCAAGCGAACATTTGTAAGCAAGTCAGGCAATCGCTTGCCCAATTAAGTGCAATGGAGCACCGAACGAACAGCCCGGCGAAGCCAACGAAACCCAGCAATCCCAACCCAACAATCCGGCAATCCGACAATCTGAGAACCCGGCTAAATACAAACCCCTGAAATGTTATCATAATGGCTAATTCGACAAAGTCAAAGCACTCGCATGAAATCCACAAAAACAGCGCGGTTCCGCCTCCCTTTTTTCCCCTCCTCGAATCTCAATTAAAAGCGGCAGGCACACACTCCTTTTGCAGGCAAATAAAAAGCCACTTGAACTCCTTGACTCTAAATCGGTCTTAAAGTGAGGTGGAAAATTCTGAAATTTTCTTTTGAGTATTTAAAGATTTTAAGCTTTATTATGCTATTCATTTACTGGTCCATTTACTAAGGACATTGTTTGTTTAATATTCAGATTTCATGGAAAATGTTGACGTATTTTAGCATAAGCGCCCCCAAAATATTTGAACTATAATTACCTGTTTACAGAATTTACAACAAATTTTGGGCAAATAATTATTCAGCGATAATCCATTTTGTGATAATTTGGTTTCAAAATGTATTTTATTTCGACGCCTCTTTATGTATTACGTTTCTGGGACAATATTTAAATTAAAGGGGCTATAATGTTTCCTTTTAAACATATAATGTTGGTTATAGAATTAGAAAATCAACAAAATTCCTTAATGTGCCTTTAAAATTAGCTTCCCATTCACAGAGAAAGTACTTTAATCCCTTGTGTTTTTATGAACTGAGGTACAATTTACCTGCATTATATACAAATGTGGTTCCTATTGAATAGATGCATCGCATCAGAAAAAGTACACATTCGCATTTATCTTGTCTGCGCATTTTGCCAGCTTAACTCTTTTCCCTTTTTTGTTTGCTGTTGTGGATGCACCTTTCAAGAAATCATAGCGCAACTCAGTTAAATTTGAATGGCGAACTGCGGACCCCTTCATGCACTGAAAATATAAATGGTTTATTCTCTAAGAGCATAAAATTCTGCTGAAAATAAGAATTTTAAGAAAAATATTTGCTTACTAAAAATTAAATTAAATATAATCGCAAGTGTAGCTTAGATTAATTTTATTTACCC